AATAATATATCCTGCAAAACTCTTGTTCATATATGATGGTTAAATGAGGTCATTTCCAGATAAACAGAAATTAAGGGACTATGTAAAAACCAAACCAAACTTACCAGACTTATTAAAGGGAGTCCTTTGATCTGAGAACAAACAACATCAGACCACAGGCTGAATATACGACACAGGATTGTACTAGCCAGATACCAACCCAGGAAATGAACTCTTAAGGACTATGCAAAACCAAAAGAATTACAACAGGGAACCAGAGACGTTAATCTGTAAATGACAACAGCATCAGAACAATAAAAGAAGGAATAAACAGTGTAGGTATAGAACCTTCTAATAGAGAGGAAGGCAAGGCGATACCAGGTAATAGTAGACTGGTTCAAATCTAGGAAGCCAAGGGTAAATTTCAAGGTAACTACAAAGAACAAACCTATTCATCAAAATAAAGAAGAAAAACATAAAGTCTCAGTAAAAACAAAACCTACAAAAACAAAAGAAATGAAAAAAAAAAATCCACAAACAAAAGGAAGTCAGCACAGGAGAGTAAGCGGAACAAAGAGAATGTCAGCACCACAAAAAAAAGCACTACAAAATGCAGTGCCACGCCTGGGAATACATCCTAGAGAAATAAGAGCCGTCACATGAATAGACATATGCACACCCATATTCATTGCAGCACTGTTCACAATAAAAGATGGAAACAACCTAGATGCCCATCAACAGATGAATGGATAAACAAACTATGGTACATATACACAATGGAGTATTATGCAAAGACAAAGAACAATGATGAATCTGTGAAGCATCTCATAACATGGATGAAACTGGAGGACATTATTCTGAGTGAAATAAGTCAATCATAAAAGGCCAAATATTGTATGACACCTCTACTGTAAAAACTCATGTAAAAGTTTACACCAAAAAGAAACAATCTTTGTTGGTTACGAGGGATGGGAGGGGTGGGGGTAGGGACTAAATAGACAATACATAAGTAGTAACTTTGGTGAAGGGTAAGACAGTATACAATACTGGGGAAGCCAGCAAAACTTGTACAAGGAAAGGTCATGGAAGCTCCATAGACACTTCCAAACTCATGAGGGACTGAATTGCTGGGCGGAGGGCTGTGGGGACCATGGTCTCGGGGAACATCTAGCTCAACTGGCATAACACACTTTATAAAGACAATCTTCTACACTACCTTGGTGAGTAGTGTCTGGGGTCTTAAAAGCCTGTGAACAGCCATCTAAGATACTCCACTAGTCTCACCCCTTCGGGAGCAAGGGAGAATGAAGAGAACAATACACAAGGAAAAGATCAGTCCAAAGGACTAATGGACCACAGCTACCATGGCCTCCACCAGACTGAGTCCAGTACAGCTAGATGGTGCCCGGCTACCACC